GCAGTGCACTTTAAACTTCATTTTCTTTGCTTTACTCATGTTTTAGATAACAGATTAATCGTTTTAATTTTAGCAAACCTTTTTCAAATTTCTCAAGCGTAATAAAATTAAAAGAATCTAAAAATGGCAGTCTACAAGCTTACAGCGTTTGTTAAGCCAAAAATCTCGCAATATGGAGAAGAAAAGTAAAAAACAACATTAGCATCTAAATGATATTTAAAAACAATAAGTAAATCCTAGCCAGTGTTTAAAGCAACTGTTTTTGAGCGGAAAAAAGTAAAGAGACGGTCCATTTCAATGGCGCTCAAAAATGTATTTTCCTGTAAAAATGCACTACCAGTAAAACCCTCAACTTTAAATAGAAAAACTTTTTGAAAGGTTTGTAAAAAAATTGCAGTTTTTAAAAGTAACAGCATCCAAACCAAATTGTTTGAGTAAATATGCTGAACAGCTTTCAAATAGATTTTTTGCCTTTAGCACTCGTGGCTGTCTGCTAAAGAAGCCGCAGCTGTCATAGCGTCGATTTTCCAAATTTGAAAAAAAAGCTTAAATATTCAAATGATGAGTAACATTGCATCGGTAGCTATGTATCGGTATTAGTTGTCCAGTTTTACTGTAATGCTCGTCAGAAACTAACTCTTCAGTAGCTGCTGTGTATCATTAAGCATTTGAAACAGGAAGTTTAGAGTTCGTAAAAAAAAAGATTTCTCGTTTTCTTTTTCTTTTTTATTTTTAAATGTAACAGCGCACTTCACTCATCACTCTTCTGATCTGAGGATACTTTCTATTTGTTGTTGTAAGCAAGAAAAACTATTTTTTAGAAGGAAATAAGGTTGAGGAAATGAGTTCTGTTATTGTCTAAACTAAATGGTGTAACTGTCATTTATCTAGGCTTTTTTTTTACAGTTCTGTATGCTTCGATCTGTTTCACTACTTAGCTGAGATGGTGCTTGTTGTCGGCTCCTTCAAGCAACTTTTTGTGTCATCTCCCTCATCAAAATACTTCTTCTCATTAATTTCTAATGTTTCTTTATAATTCAGGTTTCTGTGTGCCTGTAATACTTCGATATATTTAAAGTAAAATTGAAACTCAAATTTTTTAGATATGTTCTTCAGAAATCTGGAACAATAAAGTTTTGTTTTTACAAATTTTTTAGCAAATTCAAAAATCATTATTCGCTACTGTTCCGTGGCATACATTTACACTAAAAAATCTATGAGTTAAAAGTTTAGGCATAACTATTGAAGGAAAAAGAATGTAAATATGAAAGAAAATTTAACAGGTGATCAAGAGAAACTTAATAGTCTTTTTTTGCTGAATAATACTCCTGAAAATAATAACAACAGATAACCTGCATTTCACAACACATTTCTTTTTTTCAACAGTCTTATCGTGCAGAAGCTTGGTCAGCTGT